AGGAGGGCAGATTGAGGTGGCAGCAACAGCCAAGGTGAGGGAGTGTTGGGGGCTATGGGTGCTGCCCAGCCAGGGCAAGAATGCATAGCTGCAGGACCCAGTTGGAGGAGCAAGACAGAGCCACCAGGGGCTGGCACTGGGGCCAGCTCCTTGCAGTGCACAGGGGTGGGGGTAATGGGGGGCATATGCCCCCCTACATTTGTGCACTTGCCACTGAATCTACTGCCGATTTCCTTGCATCTGGGGGCAGGGTCCCACACAGGCTCATTTGCCCAGGGCCCCACACCCTGCTCGGGTCATCTCTGATTGGAAATATTGTTCAATGAATTGCAACTTTCTTTGCCTTCGCAGTTCAGAACGCAGTATTTTAAAGTTGCATTTTTAGCAGTAAATTTGCTGTGTTATAATTATGTATTTTGGATGCCAGGGTGGGTAATGAACAGGTCACAGATCACTCTAGATATACCCAGTGTAATGCTTTCTCTTTAAAACATCCATTCTTGCCCCTGCTGGGGACAGGATACTGAGCTAGATGGATCATTGGTCTCACCCAGTATGGCACTTCTCATATTCTTATACTCTTATGTTTAAAACAGTAAACCTCTTATTTTAGACCCTAGCTTCTGCTATTGCTGCAACAAAAGTATTAGAAGCACAACTGATTAGAAGTGAATCTGGAAAAGAGGTAAGGCTACCTAATTCTTTAAGCAGACATTCTATTGCTAAACTCACAAAATTGATAAAATTTCACTGTCCAATAATACCATTAGGGGACTTCCAATACTGAAAAAAATGTGAGAAAAGTTGAAATGGCTACTACCTTCCCTCTTTGGGTAGATGAATCAACAGATAAGTAAAAAATGCCAGCTCCTAGCTTTTATTCATTTGGCTGATGATAGAGAAATAAAGCAATTCTTTTACTATCAAGAACTCAGTGATACTACAAAAGGTTAGGATGTTCTTGACAGTGGATTCATATTTGAAATCTTTGGGTTTATCCTCCTGGAAATCCTGTGTAGGTGTTTGCACAGACAGTGTTCCCACTATGGTTGGGTCAGTATGAGGATTTGTTTCAACCATGAAGAGATCAGAATCCAAGTGGTGTTACAACTTACTAGGCGCATCTACATGAGATGCTACAAGCAGACTAATTCTATCGTGAATTAGTGTCACGGCAAAAGCTGCACTAATATGCACAACAGAATTAGCCTACTGCGTATTCATGTCACCTAAAAGACATGCACCAGCAATACTGTGCTGTAGCACCAGTTACGACGCATTTAGTACTTGTTATTACAGATAGTGAACTTAATATGTGCCATAATTATGGCATATCAATGCACCTGAAGGATGCAGTGGGCACGTCTACACCGAGACGCTTTTGTAGTGAAAAATGTGTGCCAGGAATTGTAAAAAGTATAAAAAGTATGTGCGCACAGTAAAAGCAGTCAATTACATTAAAAGGCCACTAAAAACGTTTTGTTTTTTCCAAGATTGTACAAGACGATGGAAATCTGAATATACCAGTATCATGTTGCACAAAGTAGTAAGATGGTTATCAAGAGGCAAGGTTTTATCCCAAGTTTACAAGTTGAAGGAGGAAGTGTTAACAATTTTTACACACAAACATCCACCTGATTTCTATGATCTGTTGAGCAGGCATAGCTGGTGCTCTAAAAACTAGCATATCTTGCTGGCATATTTCTGTATTTGAATAAACTGAATACCAGCATGCAATGTCCAAATGAAAATATTTCGACTCCTTCTGATGAAGCTTAGCTCTAACTTAGCTGACGACCAGGGATCCAGATAAGATTCAGATCTGGAAGGCTCAAACTAATGTCTGATAACTAGAAATGTTTCCCCCTCAGAGCTGCATCAAATAATATAGAAGTCTTGCTACTGATATTGGATGACTTGGAATTGCTAGAAGATTCAAAAATGTTTCCCAGATGTGGATGTTGCAGAGTATGCTGGGTTAGAAACCTGTTTACGGAAAAATCAAGAATCGGGGAATTCAGTCTTCAGGAAAAACTTGCTGATAAGCACAGTGATCAGACCCTAAGACTGAAATATGGTGCAGTATCTTTCAATCACGTCTGTGTTTAACTAACCAAGCAATACACCAACATTTCAAAATAAGCTGTAAAATATTGTAATTTTCAACATCATATGTGAGTTGGGGTTCTCTGCTTTAACAAACAAAAAAAAAATGAGAGAGAGGCAACTTTCAGTGGAAGAGGAAGTGAGTCTCTTTAATTCAGCCACAAATTCAAGATATTTGCAAGAACCACCAGCCTGTCTCATTAATTATATGGGTTATTCATGTGTGTTTTTTCCAGTTTGATTAAAAAAGGATGTGTCCAGTCATTTTTTTACCCACTGTAATTAACTGTTTTTTTAATGAGGTACCACTAAATTTTGACAAGTTATGGAGAGGTGCCTTGAGTCTGAAAAGGTTAAGAACCACTGGCCTATAAAATGTAGGCACTTGCCTCAGATTTGTTAATTAAACCCTAAAAGTTGTTGTGGTAATATTCATTTTCTAGCCTGTATCCAAGAAAGGGCAGTGTTTCAGCCCTCCTTATTGAAATTTAAAAAAAAAAAAAAAAAAAAAAAAAATTTTGTATGCTAAAAGCATCCAAGCTTCGGTACAGCAAGGTACAAATTCTTTTAATTTTCAGATTATTGTTCCATTTAAGACTGCAAGTGTGCTACGGCAATCTCACTTGCCAGAATACTTACCTGAAGAGGAAAGTCTGCATGAAGAATCTGAAAAAGCAGTTTTGCAAACTGGAACAAAGACTGATGCAAAGAGTAGCTGGATCAATAGTGCCACACATTTCTTGACCAAAGCTTTCTACTGGTGACTCATGAGTCAGCAGAAGTTATTCAAAACATTTCTGATTGTGTAGTTGTGATGGAGCCATTTAGTATCTATTATACTGCTCAGGGACTTAACAAATAACAGGTAGTGCTTTTAGTTTCCTTGTTAGTGGTTTACTTCTGTCATAAAACCAGGAAAGAATTCCAGGAACATGCGTCCCCCAAGATGGTGCTTCTGGTTAGTGTATATAAATTAAACTACTGCTTGGGTTGTTGAACAAACAAAATTGAGGCATTGCCCCAGTAGCAGCTACATGAGCAAAGAAACATTACACTTAAGCAAGGTAGCTACCTATGTTTGTTTGACCTTAGGCAGAACACAAGACAGGGTAGCACCTTGTAGATTAACTCATCCAGAGAGGCTTTCACAGCTTCAGTTATATCTGACGAAGTAGGCTATAAATTACAAAAGCTCATGCCTCTGAGTGAGTAATCTGTGAAGGTGTATCCTGCCTTGCATTCTATCTCTATACTAAATACAGAGTTAAAAAGAGGGCTTCTATCTATGGCCTAAAAATGTACACTTTAATCACACTGCTAAAAATTTACGCCCTGAATAAGTATTGTGGTATATACCTTCATTCGTATCCATTTCTCAGAAGTGGCTCTTAAAGGGAACAGTCCTTATGTGATCTACTGCAAGGTTTTTGTGACTACTAAAACAGGAAGTTAATATGGTTAGTTCCCATTTTACTTTGTCACTGAGACTGCTTTGGCAAGATTAAGTGACTATTTTCAAATTGTCTGTCTGCTGCAGCTTTGTTATAGAGTGCAATCTGAACACTATTTTTTATTTTGGTAACAAGAAACCACTTCTGTTATATAACTGGCCCTTAAACCAAAGGAAAATTCCAGTGCCCATTTTTAATGTAGTTGGTACCAAGGTAAAAAAAAAATGCTCTTCCAACATTTTAGGTGTGCAGAGCTGTAAGTTTACTTCAGAATAAAATACAGACGTGGGGAAGAATCAAAACTTTTAGAGTTGTACTTGACCATGTATTTTGGACAAAACAGAATTACACTGCATATAACAAACAGTAAAAGTTCTTAAAAGTTGAGTTACAAATATTTTACTTTCTACCTGTACGATCATCAGCATACAGTTTACTATATCAAGATTTCTAAAGGCTTAAAACAAAACAATTGTTCTATACTACTTTCAAACAGTAAAATTTAAGTAAAATGCTTACATTCATTTGACAACAAAAGAAAATTATTAAAAATGCTGTGTAGATAGTGTGAGGGCTGATCTTTCAGTTGGAATTCTTCAAACTTATTACTCCTGTGGAAAAAGAGAAATAATATCTTACTGCATTCTTTTTGTCCATTACTGACTCTACATTAAGGTGTTTTCATTTTAGGAGATTGAAGTTAAAGAGTACGGTGAGGAAGAAAATATTCATCAAATCACAGACAAGCCAGAATTTTCTACCTTTTCTTCTTTGCGTCTGTCCTTTTCTTCATTATTTTCCATTGTTTCTTCTTCTTCTTCTACAAGCCCATCCCCTTGGTATTTGTCATGTGTCCACTTTGGACTGCTACCTGATTTTTTGAAGTTAAACCGCCCTCTGCCCCGCTGGAAAGTGCCACGACCTCTTCCTCTTTTGGCCCAATAATCCACACCATCATCTCTGTCATCATGCTATATTAAAAAGGGACAAAGAAGAAGAAAAAGTTAAATGAACAATATCTATAATGTACTTAACACTGTATTATATAGGAATGATAAATTCAATACACTGTTGAATTTATATAAATTTTCTCGAGGTGCAGTTTTATAGGAAATATTTTAGCAGTTTAGATTCCATTATTGATATCTTATAGCTGATAGCAGGAGGCATAGTTCCCACATTTAAAACTACAAAAAAAAAATTTCCAAAAACAATTAAGATTTCCTTGATTTATGAAGGGTTTTGCATTGGAGGCTTGTCATACAGAGAACTACTCTAACTCCCATTTATAATGATGGATATCAAACCGATCACTTAATGAGATTTACTATCTTCTGGAAGTGCTGGCTTTACCACCCTACTTAACATTACTTGCTGATCTCACTCCTGCTGGTATAGTAAAAGAAAGGGCCTGTCAGAAGTTACTGAACAGACAAAATTCTGTTGCCTCTTACTACAAAATAAGTTTTTTGTTGATTTTTTTAAATACAAAAGAAGTCTTAGTTACTGGGTCAAAGCAGTTCCTTTGGTTTCTGAAACCAAATTCGTAGATATCATTCAGAGGCACTACCATATTCTCTAAAACAGGATGGAATGATTATTTAATCAATGGATTTTAATCTCTTTTTGCATTTGCATTTTAGTAATTTTCCAAAACAAGAGTTGGTGCTTTTTGGCTCGTAACCACTAAAAATGTGCTGCTGTACAACCAGATATCTATTGTTTATTTCAAGTTAGGCATTTGTTTTTAAATTCTGCTAACCAGAGAAATGCATCCTATGCATGTACTTAAGCCAGTAGTCCTCAACCTTGTTAGACTGAAGGCACCCCTCAGAAAAGTGTTGGCTCTTAGTTTTCAGTCTTAACTATAGAAACATAATAGAGCAATTCTTTTGTTGCAAAGAACTCAGGAAGACCACAACAGGTCAGAATGCTTTTAACACTATAGATTCCTATTTGAAATCTCTGGGTTTCTCTTTTGAATCATTTTTTTGCATCTAGAAGTGCTAATATTGTATGGCACCCCTGAAAGGAACTTAAGGCACCCTGGTTGAGAATCACTGACTTAAGCAATATAACAATACACTACAGTTTCTACCTAGTCATGAATGACATCTGCTAAATGATTAATGATTTATATGTAATTTCGTCAAGTTGCAATGGATAAAAACAATGAGGTTTATTAAATTCATAAAAACAGAATTAAAATGGTTTTAATTGAATATAATACTTTATGTTTTAGATACCTAAAAAAAGTTTATCAAAATACTGTTTACTTAAAACTAATTAATGAAATAAATTATATGTAGCTAGTGAACTGTTCTTCCAGATTTCGGAACGAATAAGTCTCATCTGCTCCCACTTCTGAAAAGAAGGAAAAAAAAATATTATCTCTGTACCTGGCTAATACAAACAAAGTTTCTTCACATCTTGGTCGTTTTGCAGTCTGCCTAATTTGCAGATGAATTAAAGATATTCATCTGTTTATGGCCACTTTTACAATTAAAAGGCACTACTTCTCCAATCAAGTTGGAGTTAATCAGTGTTCCCAAGACAGCTCTTTCCTGTGGCTCTGTACACCCACAGTTGTTCTGCAAAACCACGTTTGTAAGTGGATATAGACAAGGAACCTAATCCAGTGAAGTATCCAGGTTCTGCTTTATATCAATTTGGCATATCAACAAACCTTACATTCAGGTAGTTAGCTAGCAACTTTTAGCAATTCAGTGATTTGACTCTAAAGCTTCAGCAGCAGGAGTATTCTATTAAAATTACTTATAGTTTAATGTTCTGTTTGACAGTTTGTTTTCACTCAGTCCAAATGAATTATGGAAAGTGTAGGCTTCTATTTAATCCAAATTAAATGGATTATGGAAAATTTAGACTTCTATTGCCTGTCATGTTTTGCAACAGATTTTTAAGGAAAAAATTTTATTTAAGTAAAATCCAGTTTAAACAAAGCTGATTTTTTTAAGATCAGTTTTCATCCATCATCATTCATCCATAAAGCTCCAAAATTGCTTATAATGCTTTAATAGTTCAAATTTAATACTAATTCAATTTTCCCCTCAATTGTAAATTGACTAAATTGTCTGAATTGCAGGTTAGTACAAATCTGAATGACAAAATGTTTTCCATCATCTGCTTGACTATAAAAGAGAGCATCAAGTAAATCCCTTATTATTCATGTCTTGGTAAATGTCTTCTGAACCTTAATAAAAATAAGACCTTTGGACAAGAAACGACATACAAATTTCAAAAACAGATTTGGAACTTTTTTTTTTTTTTTTTTTTTAAGGGATTTTTCAGTTCAACTTTATGCCAAGTATGAGCCAAGGCTGAGAGCCCAGGTTTCATTATAAAAGTTCCTCTTTTCCTTGAGGATAACAAAGCTCAAGTATTCCAGGAGATTCTGTTATTTGATACACTGTGTTATATGTGATAAGCATGCAACAACACTAAATACAGATCTCAGCTAAGCCCAATATATTTGGATTCCAGTGTACTAAATTTCTTTTCAGGATGATTACTGGAATTATTCCATGTATAATACTTCTGATTATACCATATTAAATGAATGCACTACAATATCACAGAACAAACTTTGATAGTTTAGAAAAATAGGTCTTATCCTTATTAACTAATAACGTAACATTCTCTTTATTAAGCAGAACTAGAACGTGCTAAATAAAAAATCTTGGATCACTTATTTTAACAAGGTTTTTTTTGTTTGTTTTTTGGGGGGTTTTCTGCTGGTAGAAAAAGACCAAAGATGGAGGAGTTGCACCTATTTCTCCATACTCCAATGAGAGCAGCAGAGCTGCTGCTACCATAGCCAGTCCATGTCTATCCTAGATATGCTACTGGCTTTCCATTTTTACTGGACTCTCAGATAGGGCTGAGGCACCATCTCTCAGTAAGCATCAGTCTGGTATGTTGTCATTCCTCCATCCGAAGGATGGAAATAATGTTTTTTTTGTGGATATTCTTCCCTTAAAACAAGCTATTGCCACCCTCCTACAGCAAAAAGATGCTGGAGCTGGCACTGCTGGAAGCCTGATGCTCTCATAGCAGTATGATGCTACGGCAGACAGTGATAATAAAAATAACATGCATAAAGTGACAGCCTTCTTAAAACCGGATATCAAATATGCTTTGAGAACAAAAATGCATGCATAATATAATAAATTCTCTAGCACCCACCAAGAAGTATTTCTTGCTTTTTGGGGTATATTCAGGATCCCATTCCTCTTCCTTCGGTCTCTTTTGAAAAGTAGTATTTGAGTTGCTGGGACCAGTATTTGTACCAGCAAAACCTCCTCTGGCTCTTCCTCTGCCCCTAATTCGAAACTGATTAACCAAAGCGTTTATGTATTTAATCAATTTACATATAGCCACAAACCACACATTCAAATTGTACTGTATTATAACCAAAACACTTGTTCCGTTTTTTTCCTCAGAATAGATCTTTGCAAAATCGTCATTGAAAAATTCACATGTAATATTTAAAGTACAACATATTAAGTCTAAGATATCTTTAGGCATCTTTAGACATCAGTGCTACTTATGTATCTAAACATTTACAGTGTTTATCCATTTCATTCAATGGCTATTTAATGTAAAACACAAATGCTGCTGGGGCAGGAGCACAGGCCAGACTTCAGTAGGCAGGGAAAGTGCCTCTGGCCTTTCCTAACCAGCAGCCTGGTGTTTAGGGCACTTTACAGGGCAGTGAGATAAGTTAAGCTCTAGGTCTCCAGCTCTAGTTAAGTGCCCCAACTAGGCTACTGGACTAAAAACACAGAAGGTTATTCTGTCAAAAAGCAAGTCCACCTGTTTCTTTTCCAACCACCATTTTGGAGACAGAGTTACATGCCATCCCAGGTGGAGTAGGATCGCCACAGATGGTCATAATGGAATTCATTTGAGCATGCTCAGAAGGACAAGTCTAGTTACACAGACAAAAATAAGATCTCTCCAAGTGGAATGAAACAACATTTAGTAGCAGTCAGACACCTTTAAGCAACAGAGAAACTCAACCTAAAGGTTTTATTTGAGCCAATTATCCTATTTAGCTAAATATTTTAATAGAATTTGTAGAATATGTTTACTCATTATGTGCTCTTGGGGAAAAAAATACA